AAAAAAGATAGAGATAGAGTACCAGATTACATTGTATTGTGTGTATTCTGTGCACATTGCAACTTTTCACTTTTGAATTTCCCGCCAGCTGTGACGCCCGAAAACGAAACTAAAAGTAAGATGCCGGCATCGGCCGGCCACGTACAGCAGAGGACGCTGCGGGATCGCAGGGACAAGGTAAGTGACACTTTTCTGTGTATTCCCGAGTCTGGCTTGGGGTTACCGCTCCTGGTATTGCAAATTAACCCTGAGCCAGACTCAGAAATCCCGCCAGGGAGGTTAAACCACATTAATATCATCATAATAAAGTACAGGCAGAAAAGGGAACTATTTTTGTCACCTAGTAGAAGATGTCCCTACCTCTCCATACCTTTAGGCTAGGGATACACAGATACCAAGTACCGTACTTGGTCTACTTGGTATAAGTACAAGTACTGATACTTTTCCAGCTCTAAGACTAGAATAGAGAAAAACTCAAAAGTTAGAAGGCAGCTGTCATTTTTAAAGAGCATTGGCTATGGGGCTCCTGGGATTTGTGCATCCCTGTTTTAATGTATGATTTGTTTTATATATACAGTATATATATTAGGGATGCACGGATACCATTTTTTTCCAGACCATGTACAAGTACTGATACTCACAGATACCAATTACTGATACCTTTTTCTTTAGTGTCATGTGACAGTTTTTCTAAAACAATACAGACTAATGATTTCAGGACAGTGGTGGAGCGCCAGGGCCCACTCGCAGCTGCAACTCCTGTGACCCTGGTAGTTCTTTGTGAAAATACCAAGTTTCAACACCAATACAGACACTGGTATCTGAACATCCCTACTTTAGGCATACACTTTGTGTTTTGGCACGCCTGTATTTGTTAGCAAGTTAATAGCATGGAAACCACTAGCAATCAGTACAATAGTGATTAAGCAGAATCTGATTAATACCTGTTTCTAAACATTTTAGTAGAAACAGAGGTTTCAGTTGCAAATGTATGTAAACACAGCATGTCAAGTAAAAAAAATTAGAGAAAAATGAGGTTACCTTATGTCTTTTTAAAGGCACAAAAACGTAATACATTTATAACAAGTGATTGAACATCTCATTATTGGCACTCCACTAAGGTCAGTATAAATTTGATACATAGAATAAACCCTACTCCTTTTCCACATGTGTTGTGTTTGTGGACAAGAGAACAAGAAACAAATGGCAGCAGAAAAACACAGTGCAGCTACGATTATGATGCAAGAGATTGAAAATGTATCATCTTATACATTTTCCTACTGAAGAGTTTTGTTTTATCCTTTGCCATTACCTCCTGTTAGCTTTAGTCAGTATTGCACTGTTTTAAGTTATGTTTCACTTTAACATGTCATTTATTTTGTTATTTGTAATTGCATTCTAATTTCTCTCCTAAAGAGTGGAATTTGCACTTACCTCTCGGATACATAAGGCTTGTTTTCTTTCCAAGACCTGGGCCATGAGCCCCTCTGGCCCTGTATGATATTGAATCATGTTTTCAATTTCTGCATTTCCTCCTGTCAGTGACTGCAACCTTTCTCTTAGGATCTGATTTTCTTTCTCCAGTCGCAGCAGTGCCTGAGATAATTCTGAGCTCAGATCTAAAACTAACAAATTAAATGCATGTAGGCAAGAACCCTTTGCAGATTTGTCTCTTACAGTATACTATTACGCACCAAGCAGAAGTAAAAGGATTATAGTTTCTTCCAAATTAAATCACATACTCTGTTCTGTTCCTTATAACATAAGTAATCCCTAATGATAAATACTGTATGTAAATATGACATTATTATTCGCATCACAGTCAGCCAATAATGTTCAACCATTCTGACATTCAGATTCCAAGTGTGAGCATTGTAATGATCATATTATCTCAAAAAAGTGGTACTCAAAGCAAAAAATGCTCCCCAGCAAAATTAGAACCCCAAAGGCAGACTCTGGGACTTCGGGCCCTATCTACCCCTCTCACATCTGTGAATTTGACTATAGTAAACATAACCATATTACACACACAAAATCATAGGGCAAGCTATGAGCTTGTGATCATGGCTGGTTAGGTCTCTGTGAGCTAGCCCACTATAGTGAAGAATATTGTATTCTGGTAACTGTATGTGGTTAACACCTAATAACAATATTTAATACATTTCCTTTTTATTTCACGTGCCTATATATTTTTCTTTTAAAGCACATGCAGACTAAGCTGTCAAGCAAAAGTGATAGTTACAGGGGTTGGAAAAATGGACCATCAAAAATTGAAATTATGGAATTGTCTTAGGTGCTACAATGATATTAGTTACACATAATGCTTATTTAAAAAATATCTAACCTGAAAAGTCACATAATTTAAACCTTTGATGGTCCATTTTCCATATAGCCATATATTTAAGGTATAGCTGTTCAAAGTTCATGCTAAACAATCAGATGATGTATTGCAAAATTGCAGTGGTAATACAGTGAAGTGTTCATTACTCTATGCTACCACTTGCACTTTGTGGTTTTATGTTATAGTCATGTCACCTGGTAAATTAAAATGCTTAATTTTGCTTAAAATCATAAAAGGTCACAATAGGGATAATTCTACTGTCTACTGGTAAAAACAACGTCAGCGCATTTATTACATATAATACCTGTTGTATATACAACATACAACATTTTTTCTTATAACACTTATCAACACATACCTTCTGTTTCTGGCTCTTGCTTGACCCAGGCTTGCTCTCTGCTAGTCAAGCGTTCTCTCTCCCCCTTTGAGACAGCCTCTGTATCCGCCTCATAAGCTCTATACCAGTCTTGAGGTGCCTCTTGCCTAAGTTCTCGAATCTCCTCTGCCAGAGTTAGATTGTCTTGGAGTAAACATTGCGTTCGCTGACACTCTGCATCTCTTTCCTGGAATACAGTTTAGCCTCATAGTATATATACCCATAACAAGGAATAGCAAAAATGTGATGCATACAAGAACATTCTTAGATATATCTTACCATTTCTAACCGTTTGAGTCTCTCTTCTAGTGAGTGCTTTTCTCTCTCACACATGCGCAGTCTTTCAGAACGTTCTCTTTCAGCAGCTAGTTGATGTTCTAACACCTCTTTATCTTCCAACAAACTCCTAGAGAACTCTTTCTCCTCCTGTTAGAAGCAAGAAGATTCGTCATCAATAATTCCACATCAATAAAACATTTGAAGCCACCCTTAGTCCTAATGTCACAGATGGCAGACCTGAAGGGAACGCTGATAAAAGTCCATAGTGCGTAGTCTTTCTGTGAGAGTGCCCACTTGTGTCTCAGAACGTCGTGATCGCTCTCTTAATGCATCAAGCTCATCACGGTAACTACGAGAAAGCGCAGCCATTTGCGAAAACTCCCGAACCTAGGGATGGGAAGATATATTTAACACATTGCTAGAGCAAAGCAGCAACCTGTCAAAGATTTTTTAAAAACATAACAATAGGCACTCCTAGAATAAGCTCATGAGCATTTCACAAGCACCATGTCTGAAAATGCACAACACTCAAATGAACCCATGATTCCCAGTAGAATAGACCTTTCCAGTAGTTCTGGTAACAGATGGACTGTCCCAATAGTTCATCTCCTACTAGGTGGTGAAAGGGCTTGACCTAGGAGCCATAAGTGCTGTTTTCCAATAGGGCTGAGTTTGGGTGTAGTGTGAACTAGCAGGCTTTATTATTGCTCCTAATAATGAGGCTTGGAATATAACCATTAATTAAAAAAAAATAAAGTTCACAAAATAAATGGGCTATGCTCTATGTTATGGTCACACGTTTACCTGCTAGATACAATGTATAGGAACCAAAGAGGTTCCCTAAGGGCAGATCAGGGGCAATGAATTTCTGCAAAGTTCCTGACATCCACAGATATCTCTGTTGTCACCTTAGATAAAAATAAGACTTCTTAAAATATCAGTCTTCAATGGCTATTACAAGTAATGGATACCTTTGGCTTCCATGGCAGAATGTAACAGTTTCTGCAAAATATGTACACTTCCTCAGCTAGGATCTGCATTGCAGGGCACTTGTCTGCATAATTTACCTTATAGGAAGGTACATGGCAAGGATGCCCCTTATCCCCTTTCATCTTTAATCTAGCACTAGAGTTGCTATCCGTCTATTAAAATACAATTCATCAACTGCATCAAGTATCTATAGAGGATTTGGAATTAAGAATGGCGTTCTTGCCAATTATATTCTCCTTTTCAAGTCTATGTTTCAACAAGGCAACCTAGCTATACAACACATCTTTGAAGAATAAGGAAAATTCTCCAGTCTCCATATTAACTTCTTTTAAAGCAAAGTCCTCCCCATTTCACGGTCCAACAAATGTACCCCGACACAACACACTAATTTAAATAAATGAACCAATAAGTTGGGTTGTAAATCTTTGAATGTGTCTTTCATTTGAGCTTTCCAATTGCACGCAATTTGTTGGAAGTGGAAGAGGTGTTTGGAAGAAACATTGCAGCTGTTATCCTATTGTGTCTCCCTGTGGTGGTCCATCAGTATATTCTAGAAGGCCTGGTCTGTCCATTGCTGGTGTTTTACACTCTCCGATAATCACTGTACATGTGAGTAGCTGGTTGCTCTCTGCTTTTATCTATAATCAATAAACAGTATTACACTAGGAGGAGGCACTGTTCTTTCTGTTTTGTGGCATGATAAAGAATTATATTTGATCTACTTTGCATTGTTAGCAATGATATGTCAATTACATAGTTACATAGTTACATAGTATTTGAGGTTGAATAAATGGGTCCATCAAGTTCAACCCATTGCGTGGATGCATGTTATTCTGAATGTGTATGCTTGTGTATGAGTACCCTTGTGTTCTTGTTCCTAACAGAACCTGTACCTCTGAATGTTTCGGTCTCTCAGGAAATCGTCCAAGTGTTTTTTGAAAGATTCAATACTCACAGTTGAGTGGTAAAATTATAGATTTGTCTCTCGAGTACATTCCCTTTTTAATACAAGACAGTACTCTGCTTGCTTTGGTTACCGCAGCCTTGCATTGCAAGCTATTGTTCAATCTGTGGTCTACTATGACCCCCAGATCTTTTTCCATTTCTGACTTCCCTAGTGGAGTACCCATTAATGTGTATTCCCTTTGCCTATTTTTAACTCCTAAGTGCATTACATTAAATTTATCGACGTTAAACCTCATCTGCCTGTTATGCAAAAGTTTTCACTGCAGTGTTTATACTTTAACGGTGCATCTTTTTTTAAAGTCAGATGTTCTATTATATGTCAATACACATATTTATCCATCTTAGACAATTTTCATCCGTTGAGGAGGAGGAATGGATAGAATCCTACCTTACATTTTTAATAAATATACTTTTTAAAGGACAAAATGGCCACACTTTCACCACTAGAGTAAAATAATTCAATATGTATCACACTTGATGAAAAAAGGAGGATATTGCTTAATGTGCAACATAAAATTTGGGTGTGTATGTGACTAAGAATGAGATGGAACACATCCACAATGGTGCAAACATACACTGCATGTATCACTGCATTTAAAAAAGTTAAGAAATTACTAATTCAAAACAAGGCAGAGCATGTCATCCATTTTATGCTTGAAGGCTTTTATGCTGGCCATAGACACAGCAATGTTTAGGCAATTTCAATCACTTTTTGAATGGAAAAACTTGCAAATGATTCTGGTAAAGCTAAAATTAATTTAAGAGAGACAAGAGTACAAAATATTTCCTCCCATTTAGTGATGCACCGATACCATTTTTTTCAAGACGGAGTATGAATACCGATACTTTTCCTCAAGTACTTGTCGATACCAATTATCAATACCTTTTTTTTTTGTGTCACATGACAGTTTTTCTAAAACAATACAGACTAATGGTTTTAGGACTAGCTGCATGTGGGTCTCACCGGGGGTGCATGTGGGTCTCATCAGAGCTGTGCGATCTCCCCAGGGCTGTGCGGTCACCCCAGGGCTGTGCGGTCTCCCCAGGGCTGTGCGGTCTCCCCAGGGCTGTGTGGCCTCCCCAGGGCTGTGCAGTCTCCCTAGGGCTGCATTCGGGTCTCATCAGGGCTGCATTCAGGTCTCACCAAGCCTGCGTGCGGGTCTCATCAGGGCTGCGTTCCGATCTCCCCATGGCTGCGTGCGGCATCGTAACAGGGCTGCATGCTAGTCTTATCAGTGGCGTAACCAGAGTTATGGGCGCCCGGGGCAGAATATTTTTTTCGCCCCCCATATTATATAAAACGGATCGCCGCTATGCGATCAGGGCTGGCTGCATCAGGCAGACGCGCCCTCCAATCAGGCACTGTAGAGGGCCGCTCGCAGTGGCCTCGGAGGAGGGAGCCGCCGCCCGATGACAGCCAGGTGAATGTGGCAGAGAGAGGGAGCCACTGCATCTGCGGCCAGGGGCTTCGTTAAGCGGGGGTCATGACGGCGCCCCCCCTCAGTCCTGCGCCCGGGGCAAGCCCCCCCCGCTTGTTACGCCACTGCGTCTTATTAGAGCTCTATGCGGCATCTCCCCATGTCTGTGTGTGTCATCTCCTAGGGCTGTGTTCCAGTGTAACTAAGGCTCTGCTGGGTCTCACCAGGGGTCTGCGGATGGCGGCAAGGAGGAGATGGCAATGTATGGCCAGACCAGCGCTGTAAAAGACAGCCGCCACAAAGTCCGCAGGAAGTTGACGAAATCCCCAGCAAGCATTGGACCTTAAAGCAGCCGCACCTGTTTAAAAATGTACAGAGCCAGTATCGGCCTCTAGTATCGGGGCATTTTCACAAATACTCGTAAAAATGCATAGTATCGGCACCAATACCGATAATGGTATCGGTGTCGGTGTATCCCTACTCCCATGCTCTGTCTACTCCACTCGGCTGTGAGACACAGTCAAAACATATATAGGGAATAAGGACCAAGACCGATTACAAAAAGTTATTTTTTTTTAAATCATTACTTGTATGTGATGTATGTTCCTTTGCTGCAAGTATGAATTCCCTTGCAAAGTGAACATGATTTTTGCCTTTAATAAATCAAACCCTATGTCTCTATGTAAGAGCCTGTGTCAACAGGCATTTGTTCACACCAAATTGGTTTTGCAAGTCTGTGTGAATGCAAAAACCGCTTGAAGCAGGTTAAAGGCAAGTCAGAAGAAGGTCAACTGCTGGTCAAATGCACCTGTCATGGATTCCTAAATGATCTCAGGAGCATCTCAAACTGAGGTCAAACTAATGCTATCGACACAAGCCCAACATAAAAACAAAACTCTAGGAGCTCCAGTGTAGATTATCATGTGATTATCTGTGGCCCACAATATGAAGTTGCTATAAGACTTTCTTCATGTGACAGCACTGGTGATTGGTTAAGCACTGTCACATGGAGTGAGTCCCATGCTTCTCCGTTTTGCATTCATGGTTTTTTTCTTAATTTCCCATAGCTGAGTAGAGTGTTTGGGAAATGAAGGAAAGATGAATATATCATACTAGGGAAGAGGGGAATAAATGCAAACCTGTTTTAACTTAAATTGGCAAGGCACAGTTTTACTTTAAAGGAGAACTATGAGGTGAGTGATTTCCACTCATCCTCATAGTTAGAGCCGACCTGTGACAAAGAAGCTGTCACAGGCCGGCTCTATTGATTGGGAAGTGAGCGAACACATAGCGTCGCTTGCTCACTTTTCGATCATCTCCCTGCAGACTGTCGGTCACCGCTCCCCACAGGGATTCCCCCCTCCCCTCTCTAATCCTCCAGCACTGAGTGGAGGAATGGACAGGCGAGGGGGTGGGCATAGCTGGTTCTGCCTCTAGATAGGCAGAGCCAGGTGTCAATCACGCAGCTGGGTGGATCCTGACAGTATTGTCGGGATCTGTCCCGGCTGGGGCGCTCTCAGTATATCTATTGCCCGCGATATACTGAGCTTTGGGTCACGGGAGGAGGTTAGTATATGTCCATCCGTGACCCTAAAGAGAACTATGGAGAAAAACACTTACCCAATAGTTCTCTTTTAAGAAAGTAGCCTAATGTTGTAACTTTTCAAGATATAAATTTTAAGACCTCTGCACTTCATGCTGCAATATACAGGTGAAACTCGAATAATTAGAATATCGTGCAAAGTTCATTTATTTCACTAATGCAACTTAAAAGGTGAAACTAATATATGAGATAGACTCATTACATGCAAAGCAAGATAATTCAAGCCGTGATTTGTCATAATTGTGATGATTATGGCTTACAGCTCATGAAAACCCCAAGAACCCCAAATCCACAACCTCAAAAAAGTAGATTATTACATGCAATCAATAAAACAAGGATTGTACATAGAACAATATCGGACCTCTGAAAAGTACAAGCATGCATATGTACTCAGTACTTGGTTTGGGCCCCTTTTGCAGCAATTACTGCAATTACTTTTGCACGATATTCTAATTATTCGAGTTTCACCTGTAGATAAATGCTGTGTCCATCTATTGTGTAATTTTTTTATCCTGCTTGGAAGGAAAATACTACAAAAAGACTAATTCAGGATAGGCAGTAAGAAATACTGAATAAAGGTTTCTGGTAAAGGACAATTATGAGTGTATCCTTAATTTGTACATGTGTACCTGCTGATGTAGTTTTCTCAGCTCCACCTCCACTAACTGCACCTGCTGCTGACTGTCCAGTAATTCCTCAGACTTTTCCTCCCTTTGGAATTGTAGAGAAAGAGAGAAATTTACACATTAAACTCTTGTACACTTAAACTGTCAAAAATATTGGGGTGTATTTATCATTGACTCATCTAAATATTTGCCCAATAATCGCCCATTTTTTTTACCAAGCGCTTTAGTGGAACCCCATTTTTTCGGGGGGAGGGGGCCTCCTCAAAACACCTCCTTGATGTTGAAGGACATGTTAGCTGGTATCAGCATCAGGGGGTGGGCTGCATGCTCACTGCACTCTTGTTATAGGTATACCAGTCTGCATGCTTGGTGAGCAGGACTGGTTCCTTCTGGTAGTCGGAGGAATTCTTTTTTTTAAATGTTACCCTCCTATGCATAAGCACCGTTTCAGCACTATGGAGAGCACGTCAGCAAATTAACCAAAGGACTTTACCGTTATTTTACATTTTCATTTAATTGATTCTCAGCAAACATCCCCGCAAAGAGTCATTCAAGGGTGAAAAATACCTACTACTATATTGTGAGCTTTGTCCTGGCAAAATTGGAACTAACAAGATTCATCCAGTGAATATTATTTAATACATAAGGTGAATTCTGACAGAAATTGCTGGGTGAAACTGTGACGACACGGTGATGAGTTTATGAGTTAAATGTGTATTGGTGTTGGATTATGTTTGAGTGCGTTATGCTGTGTAACCTGATTATGGAAAGACCATCAGCACCACCCCTCGTTATCTCCCATTGTTCTCTGAGGGAGCTCAGAACAATGACATTCTGTCCAGGCTTCTGCTATGGCTGTCTGGAGCTCGTTAGCAGGGGAAGCCCTCTGGTGTTGAGCAGACCGATGGTCTGGGGGGGGAGGGTGGATGTGATGGGATTATATTCTGATTTCATCACTTGCTGTATAAAAGTTTGTGCAGTTTCTCAATAAATCAGAGTTTGTTTCACCCTACACTCGAGCCTTGGCTAGTGACTGGGGAAACTGGGAGCTAAGGATCTTCAGGTTGCAATATCTCCTCAGCAAGGAAGAAGACAGCGGCGGACATACTCATCCTGAGTACGGGGGTCCGTCACGGAAACCTCTCCAGCAAATCAATTATGGAAACCCCCATATTGTTTCTTAGGGTTTGTATACAAATGTATTCATGCAGTGCCACCTTATCCACGGTTAAAAGTTAGTGGTGTGGAACTCTCTGACACAACTTCTATAGACAGAATGACAGTACCAACATGCTAATAAAAAGGTTGCTGTAAGTATGATAGACATGACATGTCCTAATCACCCAGCTGCTGGGGGGGAAAAAAAAGTGATTTTTAAAGCTGAACTATAGGCAGATATTTAAAAAAAATCCACTTGTGTATTCATAAGTAGTAATTAAATTGATTTATAAAGTACCTACAATATCAGCATTTTGTAACCCCTGTGCAGTAAAATTTAGACTAAAAGAGGAGGGGGCATAACCAAGAACAAACCAGGCTCTGCTGCATGCAATTTACGGATATGCAACATGCTGATTTGAAAAGAGAGGTGACCACATCAGTCTACTGTTGCTCCTTCATTGCCCAGTCAAAGACTGGGGAGGCAACCGCACTGTATTACTTACAGCAGCAGAGAAAAGTGTGTTGCATGGTGTCAGTTTAATTCCTGGCTGGGTAGAATTACAACTCCAATTTCAAAAAAGTTGGGATGCTGTGTAAAATCTACATAAAAACAGAATACAATGATTTGCAAATGTCATAAACCCATATTTTATTCACAATAGAAAACATATCAAATATTTAAACTGAGAAAATGTACCGTTTTAAGAAAAAAAATAATGTAATTTTGAAGTTGATGGCAGCAACACGTCTCAAAAGAGACAGGGCAACAAAAAGTTGGCAATGTAAGTGGTACCAACAAAGAAAGACCTGGAAGAACATTTTGCAACTAATTAGGTTAATAGGCAACAGGTCAGTAACATGATTGGGTATAAAAAGAGCATCTTAGAGAGTAAAAGTACCTCAGAGGTAAAGATGGGCAGAGGTTTACCAACCTGTGAAAAGCTGCATCTAAAGATTGTCAAACAATTTCAGAATGATGTTCTTCAACGCAAAATTGCAAAGACTTTAAATATATCATCATCTACACTACATAATACCATCAAAAGATTCTGAGAATCTAAAGAAATCTCTGTGCGCAAGGAAGAAGCTCCAAACGCAATTCAAGATGACCGTGTTCTTCAGGCCCTTAGGCGGCACTGACGAATCAAAATTTGTAATTCTTTTTGGATACCATGGATACCTCATCCTCTGTACTGTTGTCAGCGCTCAGTTCAAAATCCTGCATCTCTGAAGGTTTGGGGGGTTCATTAGTACACATGGAATGGGCAGCCTTTATATCTGGAAAGGCACCATCAATGCCATATGCTCCCACCCAGACGACATCCTTTTCAGGGAAGGCCTTGCACTTTTTTATGCAGGACAATGCTAAACCGCATACTGCATCTATGACAACAACATGACCTCGTAGTACAAGAGATCCAGTGCTTAACTTGTCTGCCTGCAGTACAGACCTTTCACCAATTGAACAAATTTGTCACATCTTAAAATGAATAATATGACAAAGAATACCCAGGACTGTTGAGCAGTTAGAATCATATATTAGGCAAGAATGGGACAACATTCCTCTCCCAAAACTCTAGCAACAGGTCTCCTCAGTTGCTAAATGTTTACAGAGTGTTGTTAAAAGAAGAGGGGATGCGACACAGTGGTAAACATGGCCCTGTCCAAACTTTTTTGAGACATGTTGCTGCCATCAATTTCAAAATTACCTTATTTTTTTCTTAAAATAGTATGTTCCCTCAGTTTTAACATTTGATATGTTTTCTATTTTCTAGTGTGAAGAAAATATGGGTTTATGAAACTTGCAAATCATTGCATTCTGTTTTTATGTAGATTTTACACAACGTCCCACCTTTTTGGGAACTGGGGCTGTACAAACAACTCACATGTATTTTAGCTACACATTTAGCTGTTTGCTTTAAGATACATGTGACCAATACAAGGTCTATTTACTTATACATATTTTGCAACAATGAATGTTATATGTTTGAATATAATATGTTTATTTCCGAGTCCCTTTTTCTGTTATTTACTATATTATACATACAGCTCTTGACGCACGCGACGAAGTTTGCTCTGTAGATCAGCAATGTGAAGAGAGTGATTCTGCCAAGAATTAGGATCAGATATAACTGTCTGGGATACACCTTGTAACTTGGTATCACTGAGCCTGGTTTGCTGGTCACATCGCATTATGGACAGCCGCTGCAAAGAGAATAAAACAGGATTTGTAAATAAGACTTTAAATTAACAGTTCAGAATCTTCTGAATGATAAAAAAAACAATTTCCATCTAACCTGGCTGCATGCATTAATCTCAGAACAACTACAGAATAACAATTCTTTTTGTAAAAAAAGAATACATGACATGGTGGTAATGCCTAGTATTTTCTTGGCTGTGGTTCACTGGCAGACTTACTACCTGATGTTTAAAGGGTCACCAATATGCAGATTTCCTATTGTTTTGTCAAGAATTTCGGCAAGGAAATTCTTGTTAAATGATGCACTCTACAAACATGAATGGCAGATGGTATTTTAATTGTACATATGTACATACCTTAAAGTAGTATTAAGCACTCAAACTTTTTTTTTCAAGAATTAATTCAGATTAAACAAATATACTGTATATTGCCCAGCAATGTATTTCTTTACATTGTTGCCCAGCAAAGTGTTTCTGTAAATTTTGCCCAAACACTTACAGTCATCATGTTTCTGAATGGCTGGCTCCAAATCTCTCTGCCCTACTTCCCTGAACGTCCTGGCCAATACAAGAAAACAATAGAGAACACAGTCTCCAACAGTTGTTCATCTACTCTTCTGTGGAGAGTGGTTTGCTTTCTTGTGTTTGTATGTTTGTGGAGACATACACTGCTTACTAGCACCCACAAAGGCGGCTCAAGGGCCCCTGCACGGGACAGGAGCCACACTAAAACAGGATATCAGGGCCAGTGCTTAGGGGAACATTTGATTCTGCAGGAAGCTTAAACTTTTAAACATCAAGGAGCAGCATGCATTGTAAGGGATTTAATCAGCATTTGAAATAGCTTAAAAAACATTTTGAGTTTAATATCACTTTAAGTCTTTAAGTTTTTTTTCAGTTTTGTATGCAGTGTTGAAACCTCTGCCAGTTTTTTTTTTTATTGCTGTCTGTTTCACCACTAGGAAGATTCACCCTCAAGATTGTTCCTAGTAACCATTTTAACCAGTTCAGAAAGTGATTGGAAATTAAAATTTTTACAGTTGTCACTAGTAAAAGGGTAAAGGGGAACTATTCTAATATAACACCTGTCCCAGTAACATCTGTCTAAGAGTTAATATTCCCTTGTGTTGTAGCGCTTTCTTTTTTACTTCCTGTGTCTCTGAAGGTAAATTTCCCAAAGGACAAGATAGCATTAAAAAACCTATTCACACCTAAGAAAAATGTTTTGACTTCAGACACAGTTTTTTTTTTTTTGCCCTTTGTTTGGCAGAGGTTAGTAGTACCTCTCTCAGGTAAGAACAGGTGCCCCAAACCTTCACCATTTTTTCTTCCTTTACCATTTTTTACATTTCTTTCTCTTTATTTAATTAATTGATGGACACAGCTCACTTCTTATTTATGATGATTGGGATATACTACCACATGCAGAAGTAGTACACTAGGCACAGTTAAAGCTCACCCAAGGTCCAGCCATGATTATGGTCACATACCTTCTCTGCTAGAAAGAGCTCAGTTTATTGCCTTGTGTTGAAGAGTTAGGAGATACATTTCACCCACTGGGATTTAGTTTCCTGGTTTTCCCTATTTTTTATTCATCTATTATCTGGGGATACACGCTTCCATATCTGGCTCTGCATAATCATATTATCTTTTCTTAGTCAAAGGTTGCACATGAACAAACCAGGTGGCTTTACTGCTTGTTTACTAACTGAGTTCCTTCTAGCAAAGAGAGGGTTTGACCACCTGCAGGGGCTGCACTTTGCATGAGCTTTGTTTTGTACCTAATGTCCTCCTTGGCAGCTCATTTGCATGCAGTGTATGACCTGACCTTGAGCTATTAAGCTCTTTAAGAAAAAAGGAATTCAGTGTTGAGAGTGCAGGTAGGGAGACTATTAAGTGCCAGGATGTGCTTTCATGTTAGGAACACCAAGAGCAACTTTAGGTTTACAACTTGTTTTTAAGTTTACATAGATTGAGCTCTGACAATGATAAATGCTGAAGAACTAGGATTTGCACAAAAAGTTACTTGGAGGAACACTCATCTGTAGTTAAAGCCTGACTCCTACCAAAAGGGACGAGGGCCTTCAACACCACTTGTCATCCACATAGAATGCCATTTTAAGAACACCTTCAGCCATGTAACTCACCCAATTTGCTACTTTATCCCAGATCTTATAATACAATGAAGGCTGGAGTGTATAAATTAGAACAGGGAGGTTTAAAAGACCTTTTTCGTTCTTGGACAATCAACATCTTCCTTGATACATTCCGTGACACCATGGTGATTGGATTAAGGTGACTGAATTACCTCTGTAACTATAAATGCTGGGGTATGTTCCTGAAACGCATTAGAACGGAGGAAGCCACTAAAATAACCGGCAAAACAAGAGGGGGAAAAAAGCCTAGTTAAATGTGACTAACTACTGCTAACAGCACCATGACCTGAATAACTGAGAACATTCACAGATATAGCCTTCCAGCACTTTTTTTTCAGTTTTTGGAAAAATGGGTAAGGGTAAAACTTCTAGGGGGAAAACGCTGCCTGCTTCCCCACTGTTTTTTCAGTTTTTAAATGCTACCCGTGCCTGTAGTGGAAACTTTTTCATTCACTTTCTATTTTGTTTGACACCAGTCATCAGAATAGGAAGTGAGACAACAATAAAAACATAGCAGAAGTTCTAATCCTTTGCAATTTTTATAGATAATGCGTTTTCATAAGTTTTACACCTCAGGTCCTATGGTCCATTGTCCGAGACAAAAAGTGGGGGGAAATCCAAACTTTGTCAGGAAAGCAAGAGGTAATGGTAAATCATCCATTGATTCTGATCCACCTGTTTCTATGACAACTGTCTAAGATGGGTATTCTATTCGCTTTGGAGAAATGTCCTCTCAGTTTCTGTTTCCCTAACAGCACAGGAAGTGAAGGTAAATCTCAACAGTGGGACACAGGCAGCAAAAAACCTACCCTATCTATCTATCTATCTATCTATCTATCTATCTATCTATCTATCTATCTATCTATCTAAATGAAATGTTCTGGCTTTACATACACTTTAGGAGATTTCACCTTATTTCATGTTTTGCTTGACACCTATGAGATAGACATGTATACAGACAAAAATAAAACCTTGACAGAGGTTCTAAATCTTCCTCTTGGTACTAGAAAATTTGCTTATTGATGTCTGTGTCTCAAAGGGGAATTTGACTTCACTCCCTGTTCTATCTAATAGACATGCATACAGACAGAAATAAAACCCCAACTGAGGTTCTATTATTTCTTTTTTTTTTTTACAAGAAAGTTTATTGTGAAAGAAAAGAACAGTCCAAAAGGTTCAACATGGTATATTGTAGAAGAATACATAAAAACACACTACATCCGTAGTGAATGGGCTTCACATTCATGACGTATTTTCAAGGAAGTTGTGTGAAGACCATATTGAGCAATAGCTAGTACTCATACTGGAAGGGTATTGTAGCAGAAAGAAAAGGAGAGAGAGAGGAGAAAGAAAGAAAAGAACTCCAGACAAAAGATAGTGGGTAGTCACAGGGTAAGTATAAACAGACCAAATGGGTCTTATCTAATCAAATGGACAGCAGAGTATGATCAGAGCAAGGAGGTTGGAAATAAGAAATCCAGGGCTGCCAGACTATGAGGAAACGAGGATGGCTATTGTTCAAAACAGCATTCAACTTCACATTAATCATTATCCACTGTAATTTTTGTTTAAAGGAGAACTATGGGATTAGGGCTTTTCCCCATAGTTCTCCTTAGGGTAACGGGAGGACACAAACTAGCATCCTCCCGTCACCCTAAGCTCAGTATACCGCAAGCTTAGGGTGACGAGCTTAGGGTGACAGCGAACGCCGGTATGTGTTCGCTCACTTCCCGATCTACTGAGCCGACCTGTGACAGTCTCATTGTCACAGGTCGGCTAGAACTATGAGGTGAGTGCTTTTCACTCACCTCATAGTTCTCCTTTAACTGCCTCAAAGCAAAGGTGGGGGATTTCCATGATTTTGCTATAATTAATTTAGTAGCTGTGAACACATGGAGAAACATTAGACGTGTACAATGGGTTAAACCAGGGGATGGTTTATTGAGCATAGCTTCACAGGGGTCCCTAGACAGAGACACGGAGAGTAAGGAATGGAGAGTAAGGAACGTAAGAGATTATATACTCGGATCCATAATCGTCTAGCCACGGGACAGGACCACCAGATGTGAATCATAGTGCCAGGCAATGGACAACCCCGGTAGCAATGCGGCGAGTAACCTGGGATAAAACTGGCTAATCTAATCGGGGTATAATAGCATCTGTAGAGAACCTTGTAAAAAATTTCCAGAACGAAAACATTCTTAGAGCCCTTTGCTGTTGCCCGCCATATGTCCCTTCACCCCTCAGAGGAGATAGAGGTAGCAAGATCTACTTCCCAACTTGTTTGGTATGGTCTGGAGGGGACAGGATGAAGTAGGTATAAAGGAATACAGCAAGGAAATCAATCCAGGATCAAGGGGATTAGATCTACATCTGCTTACAAAGGACATCAATGTATGTGGTGTATGGTGAGAACGAAGTAGAGAGTTGATAAAGTTAGAAATTTGCACATAATGGTAATATTCATATAGAGGTATAGAATAGGAGTCCCGGAGGGACCGGAATCACTTCACATTAGTAGGGGTGAGGTGAGAGTAGATATCAGAGAGTCTGTGTTCACGCCACCATCAAAAACTCTGAGGAGAGTCCCATTCTGGAGGGAAGAGAGGGGACGGGGAAATGTTTAATAGCAATAGGTAGGGGGAGATGAGATTCTCAGAAAACTTGACCGAATCCCATATGCACAAGGTATGGGACATAACAGGGCCAAACGTCTTGGGGCAAAGGGGGAAGGAGTTCACGGCAAGGAAGAAATTGAAATGGGGCTTCAATCAATATAGTCTAAAAGGGCCTAAAGAGGAAGTTCAGCTGTATACTGTAGTCTACCCAAGGGAGCAATATTAGCTGCCCAGTAATAGTTACGAAGGTTGGGTACCCCTAAGCCTCCATTTAGTTTTGAGGAAAATAGAATGTGTTTACTAACCCTAGGTCTGCTTCTGCCCACAATTAAATGTAATATACGGCGTTGATGGATGCACAATATGTTAGCCGGTACAGGTGCTGGAAGGGTACACAAGATATATAACAATTTTGGGAGGTAGGACATCTTGATTGCAGCTATCCAGCCAAACCAAGATATGGGGAAGTGAAGCAAGGAATGAGGTTCTATTATTTCCACTACATAGTTACATAGTCAGGTTGAAAAAAGACACAAGTCCATTGAGTTCAACCTATAGAGATAAGAGGAGAAAAAAGAAGAAAAACCTAAAACAGAATGTTATGTCCACAGTTACCCACTGTTGATCCAGAGGAAGGCAAAAAAAACAACATATTCCTTCCTGATCCCATAAGGCAATCGGATATTCCCTGGATCAACAATCTCTGGTGCTCAATATACCTATAAGAACTCAATATCCAGTAAAAGAACTCAATATCCAGTGTTATTATAATTTTTTTGTTTAAATGTAAAAAATGTCTAGCATTGGCCCTAAATTGACACAGCATTGTATACAAATGTATTTTTTTACATTAACATTGATGTAAATTTGCAGCCCTGCTCATCATACAAAAGTTGTTTTACTAGAATTAAGGTACAACACCCAGCATATGGATATATTTTTACCCTTATATAGAAAGATCTGTTCCTGAATAATGACTTGTTCTTACCTCCAGAGCATCATCCCTCTGCTTCAGGATATCTCTCAGGTGAGCAGAGAGCACATGGACCAGTTCTTCTAGGTCAGAGGGAGAGAGGTCAGACAGTTCTGACCCAGGCAAAGACAATATCTTCTGAGTATCCTGTGTAATCTTCACATAAAGAGGAAGACAAATTTTAGGAAATGGAATGGAAAATGATGGGTTCATAAAATTATAGAAATAAAATAACCCAGTTTCACCTCCTGAATTTTTTCAGCTAGCTTTGTCTGGAAATCTAGACCAAGACTCCGGATTGTACCGATTATTTCTTCTCGCCCTTCACCCTATTAGAGTTTTAAAAAGGCATTAATAGCATTAATTATATAAGGGTCAATAAAGTTACCCATCTGTGAAGACAATATCCAGGCATAAATATAGTACTTAAAAAATATAAGGAAAACCGAAGAAAAATTACATAAGTCTCCCCTATTAGTTCTTATTAAGTCCCTCCTTTCCTATTTTTTTTTGTTCCCTTTTATTTTCTACCATTAGTATGTAAACTTAAAAAAAAAATTGTTTGTGTTAAAAAATTACATATGTAATATATGTACTATGTTCATTGGTAAATAACATCACTATTCTTTGTTCTAGAAACATAACTTTAGTCCTGGATTGTGGAAAAAGCTACCTTAGCTTCCAGACGAGGAACAGGGGAAGTTATCAAACTTTTACTATTGGGTATCTTTATTTGTAGTTACACCCCTTCCCTACAGCCTTACACAGCTGTGCAGGCTAATTTCCTTTACAGAAATTTCTCACTCTGATTTCACTGTATACTGTGAGCTTCCCACAGTGTGCAGTAGAAGCACACCGCACCAAAGAATAAATACAGCTGCACCTTGTTCTCTTATGCAGTGCACCACAAAGCATGATGCGAAGCAGGGGTGTTACCTTAGTGTGTTAGCATTGAAAATAATCAACACGACAACTCACTAACATGTGTTAACAACACGACAACTCACTAACTTTAACGTGTGGTAAAGTACACGTTACCACTATGTATAGGTGAAAAGGGGTCCACTGCGGTTCTGACCCCAGCTTAGTCTTGATTTGTCTAAATAGAGTAATATAAACATTTAAGGCTCTTAAATACCTGAACAGCGGCTCCTAATATAAGGGAAATAATCTTTTCCATTTCTTGCACGGAAACATCTAGAAAAGAGATTGCAATAGTACTAGTTAGTATAGCATCCAAGAAAATATATCCCAAAAGACATCAAACATCTATTTTGAATGTAAGTGGTGATCAACAAACAAACCACAAAAGGGTTTTAAAACTCTAAAAGACTAAATCCTTTAATAGACATTATTTTATTATCAACCTTTTATTAGCCGTGTCACTAAATATAAGGATGACATGCCATTAGGATGTTCGTTGCAAGTGTAGCAATGTTGTAGTGACCTAAAGTTTAGTGCAATGATCAATCTAAGTCTTGGTTCAGTACTTATTATAACTTCCCTTATAACGGTCTCCTTTCTGTTTAAATTGTCAGCATTCAGTTTCCTTTATGACTGAAGTGTAGTGGCATCTAAACATACTGAGCTAGGGACAAATATTCAGTAAATAAGCCAGGGTCAGAACTGGAGTGAGAGAAATTCCAGACATCAGAGCCAAGGGCAGTCGTTGTCAACCCATTTGTACCTTTAAATCTCTACTTCATCCCCCACTGCCTCTACCAACCAACTCATTCACTGGCCAAAACAAGAGAGGTGCAATCTGTGACAAAATCCCCACTGTCCAGATGTCTCCCCTACTTAACATACCATGTCTCCCACCACATTCAATACTTTATTTATCGATGTTGTTACTACAGAGAAAGTTTCTAAAATTTTCACTGAAGCCACCTCTTGCTCTTTACTACTCTCTCTAACCCACATCTTAACTCTCCCTAACCCACATCTTCAATCTCTCCTTCTGAACTGATGTCTTCCACTCCCCTGTAAAACATACACTGGTCACTCACATATTTAAAAAGTCCACACTGGACCCCACCAACTTAAAACCCACCTTTTTGTTCTTATTTTCTTCTAAACTTCTAGAATGCCTAGTCTACAACCGTCTGAGCTGCTACCTCACTGATAACCACCTCCTTGACCTTTTAAAAACCCCTAAAACTCATTAATGCCTTACTAACTGCTAAAAATCAATGGCCACTACTCCATACTCATACTATTAGAACTTTTTGTTGCCTTTGATACAGTTAACCATCTGCTGCTTCTCAAAAAACTTTACTCCCTTTGCCTATAAGACTCTTCCCTTTCCTAGTTCACCTCCTACCTATCTGAGTGCTCCGTAAAGGAGAACTATGGTGCCGAACGGCAGTGAGTGAATAGTCCGTGGTACCGAGCCGAATAGAAAATAAGGGAAAAGAAAAAAAAATTAAATAAATAGGAGAATAAAAAAAAAAAAAATATATGTTTTAAAGAAAAACAATTGTCACTGCTAGCTCTGCCCAACTGTTTCCTTTTGGCCGGCACCTGCCAGAGTCTTCTAGCAGGTCCCGACCAATGAATAACAACTAGGCAGAGCTGCAATATGTCTATAGACGGCGGCCTGCAGAAGTGGTCAAAACAAGGCAGATGCAGATCTCTGCTTCATCAGCTTCTCTGGGGTCCCTAGGTGACATTAGGGATCTGAAAGACCCCGATGTCTCCATAAAGAGGACCTTTCACACTCTCTCTGCTATTATGTGATAGCAATATGGTTAGTATAAAAAAAAGTGCTTAAAAATATTATATTCACAATAGCCCATACAGCAGCCCTTCGGTTCGACTGAACTGAAGGGCTCTGCGGCTGAAGAGAGCCAAAAGATCAGCCGAAGCTACGTTTGGATCCTTCAGCTCTTTAGTGAAAAACCTCTTGAATGTATAACGCTATGCTATGCCTGAAAATGTTACTTTCAAACAACAATAGCATACATTCATGACATTTAGTCTTAGACATAGGCATCATTCATTTCAGCAGGTTAGTTATAAGCTATGTCACTATTTGAGGGCGCATCAGACATGTAGAGCAGATATATTAGAAGCTTGAAAAGGTTGGCTGACCAGACACTGGATCCTGGACTATAAGGTGTGCATCTGGAAGTGGCATCAAGATCATCTGATGGAGCTCATCCTGAAACATGAGAACATGACATAATTTATTGAGTTCTGTGATCCATTCACACATATGCAAAAGTGTATATAACACCATGACAGGGGTTGAGTAAAAGAATAATGCAACATGGCTATTGCCAAAAAACAAAACAAAATCCAGTTATCTGGATTGCACATGCCGCAAGAGAAGCTACTAGACAACTGTAACCATAGCCTGGCCATTGGCCACAGTATAGGGCTGTGCCACAATAGGGTAATTACCTGGTAGTATGATCGTAGTCTCAATATGAGGCTGCGCAGATCCACATTTCCATGGTATGGGCGTGAATCACTAAGAAAAAGAAATAAAATAGCTGTTGCAGTCAATGTACATCCATAGTTCTTGTTTAAACCTGTACATGTGTTTGAGTAGTAGAAAGCGACACAAGGTAATACATTTACAATTTGGTGGCATTTATACCACTTGGCGAAATTGGTGAACTAAAGGTTGCGTTGAAAGTAAGGGGTTTCGACTAATCCTTTGGCTCGCTTTGGCTGCAGAAACCCTTCGTATTCACAATAGCACATACAGCAGCTGAAGGCAGCCAAAGTAAACAGACGAACTGAATGCACATGCTTTGGCTCAGCTAAGTCGAACAAACAGCCAGATCGGGGAGAATGAGTCCCTGATTTTGTTAAAAAATAAAAAAACAAACAGCTTGGGGTTTTTTGTGTGTTTTATTAGAATACTTGCACAGTTTAGTTTTTGTTGATGCTGACCATAGACTTTGCTTGATCTTGTAAGTGTGACACCATGAATCAGAGCCAGGTCATGTGATGATGAATAATGATGTGCGGGCACAGGAATGTGTTTATCATAACCCTTTTTTGTCCTTTGTTTTTACTTTTAATAATACTTTTAATCAGACATGTTGTAACAGCACAAAACCCAAGACTGATTGGAGATAACATTAAATCAACAATATGCTATAGGCGGTTCTGCTGCCGTAAAAAAAAAAGAAAAAAAAAATTGGACATAGGAATGCATTGCTAGATTCCTATTGGCTATTTCAAATTGCAATACGGCTCTGTGTCAGAATAAAAAAAAGAAAAAGCAGTGTTTCTATCCTGGGCGGCCAGGAGCAGGAGACTCCCGAAGCCCCGGGAGAGTTATGCTGTCTGGAGATCAGTGTCCCTGGTTAGCTGGTAACCAGGGACGATGATCTCTCTGCAAGTGGCTGGAGCCAGCCGTAAGATCAAGGCTGGCTCCACCTAGCTGGCAGAAGCAGGCTGTCGGCCGGCCAATGGCCGGCCGCTCGGCCAGCTTCGGCTTTCACCTCGGCTTAGTCGAGCCGAAGCATATGCCTTCGGCTCGACTGAGCCGCCCGGCCGACTTCGGGAGCTGTATGGGCTATAGTGAATAGCCCGTACAGCAGCCCTTCGGTTCTACTGAACCGAAGGGGTCCTGGAGCCGGAGCTAGTCGAAGGATCGGCCGAAGCTATGGCTAGATCCTTCAGCTGCTTCGTGAATAGACCCCTTAGATTACTAATCATTTTAAGGGAGGAATGAATGGCAAGTAAAGTGTCCTGGATAATAAATAGAGAAATAAAAAGAAAGAAAGAGAAAGATATAAACTTGGGGAACAAATCATTCTAAAGGAGTAATGAATGCCAAGTAAAGTCTCCTTTATGTTGTAAATTTGGAATAATCGGATTTTGGTGTTATCTTGAATGCTTGCTGCCCCCTGGAGTAAACTACTGAAAATGCAACATCTTGTCATAACTGGAAAGTCAGTTTCAAGTTTTCCCTGGAATTGAGTCACTGGTGTTAACATTTGCTGCAAAGTGGGAAAGCACCACCTTACCTAACTACTAAAACACACACACAATAGGTTGGACTTGATGGACTTATGTATTTATTCAACCTCAAATACTATGTAACTATGTAAAATTACATTTAATAGAACTGTAATACATATTTCAGCCTTTTTTGGCTAGAGCAGTGAAACATTTTATTGCTCCTGGCACGTACAGTGGGCAGATTTTTCCCTCATTTTCTGTCCTGGAGAAATAACAGGAAGTGGAAATCTTTCCAAATTGAAGGGAAATCCTACATTTGACATTTGTCACTGGAACAGGTGCAGTCATTGGTAGATTTCCTCAACCTTCTGTTACAGGAACCACTGTCTAATTTAAAGTGAAACTACACCCTCATACCCTTTACAGCCAAGGAAGGTGCTATTGTAGCCTCTATTTGTAGTTTCCATTATGCTGCACGTGTGATCATTTGAGGGTTTGAAAGCTCTGTTGAGAGCTGAAATAGCAACCCTGACAATCTTGGCGACATTAAATTGATGGGTAAAATTCTTCTTTTTTTCCAAGTGAAAACGGTTACTGGGATGGAAAGTGAGGTGAATGTCTGGTTCATGGAACATGTCTGGTGATTGAAAATGTATAAATTTCATGTTTTCTTTCTGACATTATGAATGAAAGTAAAAAAAAACGAAAAATTATAAGACATTTAGTGACCTTGGGGTCACTTGACTTACACAAAACTCATGATGTAGTGAAGCGTTCCACCTCCTGTCAATTGCATAAACTCTCTAACTGGATCTCTGATAGGAGATAATGGTCCATATTCAAATGCCCGATTTTGCTCAAAGGTTCGAATCTGTGGATAGATGTAAATACAGTAAACAGTGTTATCAATAAGGCTGGGTTCACACAGTGTTGAGCTACAGTAATGCACATTTAATACATTGGTGCACTAGGGGTCCATTCATGAATTCCTAATGGCACCTCAATACACAACGTATGGTTACACACTACAAAAAACAGTACATGCACCCTTTTTGATGCGTTAGTCAACCCAGTTAATTGAATGGGCTGCCTTTTTGCAACACATGTTAACGCGTGTTAAAGTGCATGCGTTAAAGCATTGCAAACCCAACCTATTATTTGGTAAAATTAGAAAGTGTTAAAACATCTATCAGGTTATTACTGTCTATGTCTTCATGTCCCGGTGACAACCACACATTTCATTTCTTGTCCTGCTGTTTTGCTCTCAATGGGACAATAATTAGACATGTGCGATTCGTTTCAAAATTCGGACGAATTTTCGGAAATTCGGACATTCGGATGTATCCGAATTCCGAATTACAGACATAACGAATGCAAACGAATCCGAATTTCCATTTCCGAAATTTGGTAGCGTTAGTACGAACGTTCGTTTCGTTTTCTGTTCTTATTCGTTTCTTATTCGTTTTGTTCGTTGGAGCAAAGTGACATTAGGGAAGGAGAAAAATATTTTTTCCCCCTCAAATGTCACTTTTGCTGCAAACGAACGAACGAAACGAATAAGAAACGAATACGAACAGAAAACGAAACGAACGTTCGTACTAACGCTATCGAATTTCGTCCGAATCCGAATTCCGAATCCGAATTGACTTTCACACCCGAATCCTGAAAAACGAAATAACACAAATCCGAATTTAAAACGAACCTAAACTAAACAAATTTTTTGGCAGTGCACATGTCTAACAATAATTATGGTGAAATTTCCTTAACAGGGTCAAGGACAGCAATGATCATATGACAGAGTTTCTAACCCTCCCTTACTCACTCCAAAACTGCAAAAAAAAGAAATTGTCTTGAGTTAGGATTTAAATAGTGAGTGACAGGTCATTTTGGGTTTTCACAGTAGACCTACAAATGTATATCTAAAACTCAGCCTGTAGCAATAAATGGTAAAAGTGCTGTTACCCATAGAAAAGCTAGCAGTAGTTAGTAATATCTCCTAACTACTACAAGCGGTACCATGACCTGGATAAATAAGAACTTTCACAGACATACCCATAAAAAAACATGATAAAAGGTACTGTTACCTACAGCAACCTATACTGAAAGTCTTGTAACAAGTAAAATGTAACCATATCTCTCACCTTCTGAGATGAGAAAGAGGGACAACTTTTAGCACAAAGCATGTAGGTAAAGGTCACACCCCTGCCATGTTCCCCTTATGTAAACCAAGAAGACTTTATGTGCAACAAAGGAGTGGTTCAACTCATAGGTGCTTTTTCTTCAACCAGTTTTCTTTATACTGGACTTTTAAATACCAAAAAGAATATTTAGAGGTTGAATAAAATGTTTAGTGCAGTATTACTCTTCTGGTTATCTTCTGGGACATTGTGTTGTATCAGCAGGTTGCCTACACAGAAATCTTGGAGCGCACCTGAAGGCACACCGCCCCCCTCACCCCACAGTGGCCGTACAGCTGTGCCTCTTATTCTCTATAAACGTTAACACAAAAGATCTTTTCCATTCATTTTTTGATAATCTATAGCCCAATTCTGTTTCCCATCCCTCACATAAAACGGTCTTTTGAAGTAAGCTTGGGCCAAGAGAATATGATATATCGTTGATAATTTATGTTTACTTTCTTTTTGGTTCATACACAAATCCTCAAAGGGAGTCATATCTCACCTAAGAGGTTTAGATCTTGAGAGAGAGAGCAGTAATATGATGTATGATAAGGTATGCAAGCCACTGTCCCCTTGAGGAGCCACCTTCTGGGATGAATAAAGATAAAGGATATATACCATGCTCTGAAATTGCTTGCATTATATGAGCTGGTTCCATAGAGGTCTATTTTAGAAATTGTGGGTTAATATACCCTGGCGGAAAATCTATGCATTACTAATATATCATATCTTAATCGTGCCGGGGTACATCCCAAACATATTTAATCATAGCTGACCTTAGGGTCCTAAAATAAGATCTTGGAATATCTTTGATCTCGGGATAGTTTGGAATAGATAAATAAATCTTGGCAAAATATCCATTTTAATCAATTCCATCCTTCCTATGCGTGAGTGCATTTTTGGCCCCCAACTATTTAATCTATGCTGTGCCTCTACCAATAGCTGTGTGTAATTTAATTTAAAAACATCAGATTCTCATACCGCCACATATACTCCAAGGTATTTAATGCTTTGCTCCCTCCACCCAAACGGGAAGCCAGTCCGAATAACCTCCTGTTCACGAGGCCGTGGGAGCAACATATCCAACCATTTAGATCTGGATGCATTTATACGATAGTTACTCAGTCATCCAAACAGCTCTATTTCTTTTAAGAGTGATGGAAGGCCAATAAAGGGATTAGAGATATAGGAGGAGAAGATCATCAGCAAACAGGCTCAGTTTGTGCTTCCTATCTCCCACCTGATGTCCTGATTCCATTGCGTTAAAGAGTACTGGGTCCTGAACGTTACAAAGTCCTGAGTCCATTGCATTGCAGAATCCTGAGTCCAGTGCGTTACAAAGTCCTGAGTCCATTGCGTTGCAAAGTTCTGTGTCCATTGGGTTGCAAAGTCCTGAGTCCATCGCATTGCAAAGTCCTGAGTCCAGTGCGTTACAAAGTCCTGAGTCCAGTGGGTTGCAAAGTTCTGTGTCCATTGGGTTGCAAAGTCCTGAGTCCATCGCATTGCAAAGTCCTGAGTCCATCGCATTGCAAAGTCCTGAGTCCAGTGCGTTGCAAAGTTCTGTGTCCATTGCGTTGCAAAGTCCTAAGTCCATCGCATTGCAAAGTCCTGAGTCCAGTGCGTTACAAAGTCCTGAGTCCAGTGCGTTACAAAGTCACAAGTCTAGTGGGTTGCAAAGTTTTGGGTCCATTGCATTACAAAGTCCTGAGTCCAGTGAGTTGCAAGTCCTGAGTCCATTGCGTTACAGAGTCCTGAGTCCAGTGCGTTACAAAGTTTTGAGTACATTGCCTTACGGAGTCCTGAGTCTAGTGTCTTACAGAGTCCTGAGTCCAGTGTGTTGCAAAGTCCTGAGTCCAATTCATATACTATCGTGTATATAATCTATTGCTGGGATTTGTAGTCCCTCTACAACCATTGCCATTCTGCATTAGAGTATAAGCTCCTCTGTACAGAAACTTACTGACTGGCTCAGTGTTTTCTGTACAGCACTACGGTATATATCAGAGCTATATAAATGTATAATAATAATAGTGTGTGACTGTGGGGGAACATTAGAGTGTTAGCTCCTTTGGTGCAATGACCGCAGGGTAGGTAGGGGCGTGAGATCCGATCCTAGGCCCCCCTTGGGAGCAGAAAATCTTGCACCAGGTCCCATTGTTCCTTAGGTCCGCCACTGCCTCTGTCTTTTTTAACACATGAGAAACTATACTCTCTGTTGTCAAATGGATCCTGGTGCTGTAATTTCCCTATTCGATTACTTCTCTGACTACCTTTTTCCGACCAGGCCAGGCTATGTTCTATTCTTGTCACTAGTTTTAAACTATTTTTAACTTATGTTTCTGTGATGATCCACTGTGTGGGTTGTGACCCTCATTTATGTGGCTTCCTGTACCTGATATATAAAGTGATACTAACAAATTTCTGTGTTTGTGTGCAATTCGTATCTTACCAACGCATCACATGGGACCTGCCGGCAAGAAGAAGTGGTTGGGGTGCAATATTCGGCATTCTGTATTACATCTACTTGCATAGCATATTGGCTCAGCAGCCCTTTGACCCAGGGTGAACAGACCATGCTCCAGGGCTTCTCTAGAGAAGACAAACAGGGGTATTCAGTTCTTTGACCCAAGTTGAACAGACTATGTTCAAGGGCTTCTCTCAAGAGCACAAACAGGGGCCTTCAGTGCTCTGACCCAGTGTGAACAGACTATGTTCCAGGGCTTCTCTAGAGAAGGCAAACAGGAGTCTTCAGCACTCTGATTTAGAGTAAACAGACTATATTCCAGGGCTTCTCTAGAGTCTTATGGGGTCTTATAAGCATTTCTAATATTAAAAAAAGTGTAATTGCAAGGTCTTCCTTACATTGTAAAGCGCTGCTCAAACTGTTGGCGCTATATAAATCCTGTATAATAATAATAACACCAGATGACAGTGTTCCTGTTACTTTAGCACACTTACATTGCAAAAAAAGTATAAAAAAGGTAAAATATTTACAAAATGAACAAAGTGTGCAAAACATGTAAAATAAAATAATAATAAAAAAAGTGGAGAAAAAAAATCAGGCACATTTTAATATCTAATGTCTTTATTTTGTTACTGTTATTTGAATGTATTTATTTTTTATTTAAAAGCTGTGGCAAAAATAAAAAGCTGCAAAAGGTAACTGAAATATGAAATAAAATAAAACCCAATAGTTTACTAAAAATTTACATTTAATAAGTACACTTTTTTTTGTTGCTTGTTATACTAATAAATATAATCATAATATAAACAAACAAAAAAAATGGGGGGGGTTAATGTGTAATGGTTGTAGTTGCTCGAATTTGGCTGGTCAATTAACTCTAGAAAAGAAATATAATTTTAAAACTGGGGACACTCAAAATTTCTGTTTGTGGTCACATCCTCCTCTGCATTATGGTCAGTGACAGCACAGTTACCTAAGATTAAAATAGAGGAAGTTCCTATTACAGTGCAGAAGTGGACCTTTTCCTTATATGAGGTCTGTTTAAGTATGATGTGGAGGAAGAGTGGCCATAGAAAAGCAATTGTACCTTACACGTTTATCTCAATATAGATTTACTTTAAGAATTATGTTTATCAAACCAGGTCCCATTAAAAACAACTGAAATCAGTAAGTACAAAATTTTAGGAGAAATTAAAATAATTAAAGTCTTCATGTAATTCGAGGGAC